TCACTCTCATCATGGTATGTGTAATACACTCTCTCGCTTTTATTTTAAAGAATTTCCATATCACACTCCACATGAACAAAATATTCAACCTGACAAAAACTAAATAAATTAATAGTATTAGTTAAAATTAAAAATTAAAATCTATTATAAAAAATAATATTTTCTTTATAAAATAAAATGTAAAATGTTTTTATTACCCCACACCATTTTTTACAGTTTTTTACTTTGTTTAAATTTCTTTTATAAAAGTATTTCATTTTTTGCTTCATCTCCTCCCCCTCATCAAATATTAATTTAGATATTATTTTTTAAAAAAAATATATAATTCTAGCCACCCTACTTAAACCTTCACGTTCAATCCCCCCCCCCCCCCCCCGTGTTTAGATATACATATCGAAAATATTTTTTACTTGCCGCCACAAGATTTTTTATATTTTTTAATTGTTTATGTTATATTCGGTACACTAGTAGAATTTTTTTTTCTAAAAATATATGTACGTGCATATCTAACACAAAATAAGAAAAACGTAAAAAAAAATAAAACTTACGAGTGGAAAGTTAAATAGGATGGGATAAATTTTTTAAATAAAATAATATCAATTTCTATCAGGGAGAGGGGAGGGGGAGGATGAACTATGAAATTTTTAAAAATATTTTATAAATGATTTTTTTTTTATAGAAAAGGATATGTTGTTGCGGGGGGTTACGTGGAGGAGGTGGTGGGTTGAGATAAGAAAAATAATTTAATTTTTTATATTTATATTAATTTTTAATTTTTAATTGATATTAATTTTTTATTATTTATTTTTTATCTAGATAAAATATTTTATCTACGTGGAATATCATGTGTCAAAAAATTTTCATATAAAGGAGAGAATGCACTACATGCACTACACACACTACTGAGGTGAGTTTCTCAAACTAAAAATTGACAGTTTAGGTATGAAACTCATATTTTTCAATATTTTAGATATTAAACTAAAAAAATAATAATTTAAATGTGTTTTTATACTTATCTCTTTTATAAACTTTAAAAATTCTCCCCTGTTTTTTATACATATGATTACAACATATTGAATTATGTGATACAAGTACGAAACAAAGTGAAGACTAGTGAAGCTTTTGTTTTACGCCTCAAGAAACTTTGGGGCCCTAAAATTTTTGTAATATTGATTTATCAATTTATTTTTACTTTAAAAATACTGAAAGTTACATGGAAGAAAAAGTGCAAAATCTTTATAAAAATAAATACAAAAAAGATTCTTTCAATGGTAAAAACATTTAGACCTTAAATTAAACAAATCAAATATTCATATAATTAGATAAATTTATTATGCAAAAATATCCAAGGTAGTAATTACATACACTTACTAACTTCAAATAACCTTAATATATAATATTATAGGTATGAGATTCTCGTTATTAACTTAAATTTTTTTCATATATATATGAATTGATAATAAATTTGTATTATAATTTTTGTGCAATGAAATGCGTTGGAATAACATCAGATTCATCGAAAGACTTCTATAATCCTAGCCAGAATCAAAGGTTTTTGTTGGATGAACCAATGAATCAGATGTTGTTCCTATGCATGTCATTGCATTAAAGGAAATCGAGACAAATTTTTTAGAAGGAAATTAACTTTAGGAATTAATTTGATTCTTGTATTTCATTTCATTTTATTTTTTGGATTCTGAGTGTGTAATTAATTTTTTTTACTGTTTATTTTTGGTTGAGCAAGTCCAATTATATACCAACATGTTACCGACCAATTATTTTCCCTCAATTCCAATTTCGTACATTTTACGTACATTTCATTACTTCTATTTATTTAATCTATCATCGTTAACTTTAAATTTAACATACACCTTTTGCTCTTAAAATAGAATTCTTGAAACAATTCTAAAATTATTTTTATATAATTAATATAGAGCACTGATTTGAGTTTGTATATCAACGGATGAAACTCATTAAAATAATTAAGCTGTCTATACCATACACTGTTAGAATGTGGGATAATCCGTATAATTATTTCAAAAAGAACACATGATTTCAAATAATTTCATCTCCTCATAACATTATTACGACAGAAAATATTTTACATATACTATTAAATTAACCACATGTGGATTTGTTTCTAACTGGAAGATAATCAAAAGAATACTTCTTCGTAATGGGACCTCTTGACACCAATCGGTACTTTGTACGATCACTACAACAAAAATAATTTTTAACGATAATAAATATAGGCATTAATAAAGAATATTAAAGTCTTTATTGATATTAGTTTAGTGACATTAGATTAAGAGTGCTAATTACCGCTAAAAATACATATTTAGCAATAATTAATAAATTATTGTCGTTAAGTAATTGCCGCTAATAGTCATTTTTTACGAAGAAATGTACTAGTTATGATTTTATTTTTTTAAATATAAAATTCTAAGAAATATTTTAGTTAAACTGATATAACTATTTGAAACAAATTAAGTAAAAAATTTCTCGATTTCAAAATAATTATTACTTTGGAAAAAAGAAATTGTCCCACAATAAATTTTACTTTAGAAATTAAAGATAAAAATTAGTATATTTTCCAATTATATTTCATCTTTTTAATAGTGCTCATTATCCAAGAGACATTTATAATATAAAAATAATTTAATAAACTGCCTATTATATTAATAAAAGTTTTAATTAACGTACTTATTAAAATAATATAATTTATTTAAGACTGATAGAGCATATATCTTTTTCGATAGAAAAGTATTGTTGTGAGAGAGACCCAATAATTATGGCCAATCACTGACAAATAACGGATCCTTAACGCAGTCACAATCCATTGAGATGTAGACAAGAATCAATAATTCATTTGAATGAAGGAGTTTTAAGTTCTCGAATCTCAAATAACACAATATTTTTTTATTTTATTTTATCAATCGTTCTCAAATAACATAATATTTTTTTATTTTATTTTATCAATCGTATATTATTATTCTTGAAGACTCTTATTAAATTTTCTGATTATAACGCTATTTATAAATGGTAAGGACTCCTTTTATATTAAATAAAGTGGGATGTTAATATTATAAAACAGTGGTTAGTTCATATGACAGTTAAATTTGAGAGGATAACTATTATTTCCCTCCGTCTCAATTTATCTATCACTTTTTAGATTTCGAGATTCAAATAAATTTATTTTTAATTGTAGATTTCATACGTTTTAAAAATTGTCAACTATTGTGACTTATATTACTTTTTACGTAGTTTCTAACTAAATAAATTCCATTTCAAAAAAAATTGAAGATTCCATGTGTAAATTGCTAATCAAACTTAAATTGTCTGACTCTCAAAAAACGAAAAATTTCACATAAATTGAGACAAAAAAAATAGTAAATTATGGGATTAGTGATTACATTAAAAAAAAATCACTTTCTTATTATTTGTACCCACTAAATAATACTACACTTTAATATTACAAAAATATGCATACTCCATTCACTCGATTCATTTTAATCTACTCAAATTCAACTCAATTCATCTATTTAACGCCCGAATTGATAACCAAAATAATTTACCTAAAAGGAAAAGAAGAGAAGAATAACAGTATCAATGCCTATGCTGTCCTGAATGTTTTTTTTTTTGTGTCCCAACAGGCAGCTCTATAGGCAATGACAGGTTGTTTTTTTTTTGTCTTAGTAGTTAAAACTGAGACAAAAAAAACCTCCCACATAAACCAATGACATCTCAACACTATTTTTTTTACTTCAGTTTAAATGGTCGTTTTTAATTGACATAAAAAAATAAGTAAACTAATGATTAAACTATTTATAAATAATATAAAAAACATGATTCTTTAGAAAGTGTATAAATAATATAAAAAAAAATTGTCCAAAAAGAAATAGTAAAACACCATTCAAAGAATACTTAAGGTGAGTTGGCAAATATTTTGTTCTTTATTTCTTAACTGTCATGCCTAATGAAATACCATCATACATATATATTATTACTAAGATAAAAGTAGAAGAAACAAAATGCTAGCAAACAAGGTCGTTCACTATGTACTTTTTGATTCCTATAACACACTTTTCAATTTATTATGAAAAAGCAAAGAATCCTTTTATCTATGAACAATTCTTCAAATATCTTGTTTATTCGCAATATAATCTTTTTTTGAGTGTCGATAACGAGTCACTGGTATATAATATATTCATACCTAACGAGTTTATATAAAATGGTAACGAAACATATAGTTTGTATATATCTTTTCGTTTTCATTCTTTCGTAGAGCTATTTACTTGATCACAAACATTTCTAGAACTCTTAATTCTACAAGAGGGGCAAATAGTTAATTTTTTGTTTTCTCTAAGCTAGCGATGGCCAATAGATTTTCAAATATTTTTGACAAATATTATTTGGGTGAAATTTCACCATGTGTCTGGTCATAGTATTTGAGAAACATTTCACTTTTTTTGAAAAAGAAAAGATTTACGCCCACAAGTTTTAGAAACTATCAAAACTAGCCATAAGTTCGTATTACAAGTCAATTGAATCTTCGTTGCAATAAATAACAAGTAGTGTTCATGACATTGAAACAATATGGTAGTTTGGAGTGAATGCAACAAGCATCATTTTATGCATCGTGAAGTAGACAAAACACATGACTTTGTTACCCCGAGCAGATTGTTTGTCATTTTCATCAACAACCATATCACCACTTTCATATTCACTGAATATTTCATCACTACTTTGGTGTTCACGTTAAAAAATATGTAATATAGCACAAAAACCTAATATGAAGGGTGTATTTTTGTAAAAGATAAAAGTTTAACGTAGAATTTGAATTTTTAAAAGATTCCAAATAATGAGATTTGACCGAAATACTAGAAAAAATTAGTATTTAAGAATTTAAGATATTTACCAAATAATAGCAAATTGTACGAATAAACGCTTTTTTCAATTGTTTTCCCAAATATTACTTGTTAAATCTATGACCAAACGGGTCATAAGTTTGCCCCTTCATTTGTATTTCCTTGGGTTTTGGAAAGTTTGGTGATCATAATTTCTAGATTCCTAACCTTATACTACTTCCCAAAAAGTCTTATTCAGATTCCCCTTCTTGATGCAAGAAAAAACCACTTTCTCATCATTTTTACCAAGAAAACAGAACTAGCTAGGCTGCCATTTGTAATTTGTATTTGTAGGTGAACAAGAAAACATGAGCAGAGAAATGGGATTTCTTTCTCCTCTTCCTGAAGAAACAACATACCTTAGAAACTCAAATTGGTTATTTGAGGAAAACAAGGGAACAAATTGGACAGTTGAAGAGAACAAGATGTTTGAGGACGCGCTCGCGTTGTTTGATAAGGAAACTCCTGATAGATGGTATAACGTAGCAGCAATGATCCCCGGAAAGACGGTGAATGATGTGATCAAACAGTATAGAGAATTGGTTGATGATGTTACTGATATTGAAGCTGGATTAATACCAGTACCTGCTAGCTACATGACTACAACTAGCTGTACTACTCGTTCATTCACATTGGATTGGATCAATCATGATCAAGAAATAGGCGCCTTCCACGACTTTAACAAGCGATTCCATGGTCCATCTCATGGCAAGAGAAACACATCAAATCGATCTTCTGAATACGAAAGAAAAAAAGGAATCCCATGGACCGAGGAAGAACACAGGTTAGTTTACTAACTTTCTGTTGGGTTTCACTTGCCCTGATTTCTTACCATAAATAGATTTTCCTTTTAGGAAAAGGTTTTGATTTGACTAATCCTTTTCTTGCAGGAAAAGGTTTTGAATTGACTAATCCTTTTCTTGTAGGAAAAGGTTTAGGACTCTATAAATAGAGGAATCATCATTTACAATGTAGTATTAAAAGACTTTGAGAGTTTTGGTTAGGGGGAGAATTTGTGGATCACAAGCTTGATACGCTATCACTTGTGTGAAACTCCCATGTATTCCGAGTGAATTGGTTGATGTTGTTTCTCTCTGTATTTTGTACTCTCATATTTATAGTGGATTGCTTATCTCCTTTGTGGTCGTATGTCGATTGATCGAATCATGTTAAATCTTTGTGTTTTTTGGTATATTTCTCGTTGTTTTTGTACTCGTGATCTTTCGAGGTTTGCATCGATCCTAACACTTTCATGTTACAAATTGGAATTCAGAGTGCTGCAATTTTGAATTTGTTTTCTACATTTTGGTCAGGCAATTTCTGTTGGGGCTGAAAAAGTACGGAAAAGGTGATTGGAGAAATATATCTCGCAATTTTGTGACTACAAGAACTCCAACACAAGTAGCGAGTCATGCTCAGAAGTATTTTATTAGACAAATTTCCGGGGGTAAGGACAAGAGAAGATCAAGTATACATGACATTACCACTGTCAATCTAACAGAAATGAAAGAGAATCATACATCTTCTAATTCCCCCGAAAACTCTGTTCCATCTCCACAAAAACAGCACAATTTGTCAAATCAAAAATCATATATAGGTTTCAAAACATATGGACTAAAATTGCATCAACGTCGAATGCATAGTGTTATTCTGCAGGGACTTCAGTTTGATCAGTACAATACTATGTGATATCGATATTTCTAAAGAAAAAAACACGCGCTGCTCTGCCTGATCAACCATCTGCTGTCTTTTTTCAAGTGTGTTAGAAGTTTGATTAAAGTATGTTGGAAGATTAAGATAATTATGCAGCTGCTGCGATGATTGATACAGTTCAGCACGCAAATGTACGAGATGTAGAGGTTCAGTGAGAAGGCTGAGGACTGTTTCGTGTTAATATTACTGGTAATTCGAGATGGTTAGCAATAAGTCAAGTAATTAAAGTTCCTTGAGAAAAATTGTGGTTGTTTTAGTTTGTAGTATTTCCTTTGTTTTCATTTCTGTAGAAGAAGCACTATTTTCATCATTCATATCATCTTGTTCTTTTGCTCATTGTTACTATAAGGGAAAGGAAGAAAAAATGCGATTAGCATTACAGGGATTTCCAATCTTATAACAACATATTCAGTATAATCTCACCAATAGGCTTCGAGAGAGTGGTGTGTACGTAGTCTTGAGTCTTACTCCTACCTTAAAAATAGTGGAAGAGCTATAATTTTTAATAAGGGGATTCAATATCTGAAGAACTAAACATACTAACTAATCTAATGGGATTCGATATCTATTATTTATATATATATATATATATATAAAATAATTTTAACCATGTATAATTAGTAAAATTTTCTACCCAAGGACTACCAGAAGGGTGGCTCTGCACCTGCTTGGAAAGATAGCGAGGCTGTTTCCAATATACCTGACCAAAATTGGCAAAACTTAATTTTAACATTAAAGGCTAATTCATTATTTAGGGCTGTACCATGTCACACACAAGATAATGGCAAGGACTAAAAAAAATATTTTTCTTGAAACATTTATAATTGGTAACCCAACATTAGAAAATAACTTTTTTCGCGAAAAATATTTTTCTTCAAAAAATGTTTCTTATTCCGTGGTACCTAATTCACCTTATCCTAATAATAGATGAGTCAATATCCACTTCATCGAGCAGTATACTGAGCTCGGTTTACTTTTCATATTAATCAACTTTAGGGCTAACTATTACTCCATCCGTTTTAATTTGTTTGTTAGGTTTTAATTTGACATAAATTTTGAGAAAGTAAAAAAGAGTATTGAATTTAGTACATGTCAATGAAAATTTAAAGAAAGTTTTGTGTACTTGTGTTATTCATGAAATATATATGTATAAATATGTGACTATGTATACCATTATTAACTTGAAATTGCTACGAGACTGGGTGATTAGTGGAATTATTTTTAATAATTTAAGATCTAATGATTAGAGAGCACAAAAGAGGAGCTTTAGCAATAGTTAAGGATAGGAAAAAACACTATTTTGTAGTACTATTTTGTCTACCACCAAACCAAAACAGCCACCAGCACCACCTTCTTCTGATTAAATGATTATTCAAATTTGTTCTTTTTCATGAAATGATTTTTCAACAACTTGCAAATCATAAGGGGTCAAATGAAAAGTTTATTTCTTTGTTTTGTTGTGCTGTTACTGTTGATTTCATGTTCTCTTCTACCTCATAATTATGCCACCTTTTTTCTATTTTGGTGGCATTACAGTCATAATTTGCTGTTGGAAGTATCAATAAAACCTAAGTGCAAACTATATACAGGTCCCCCCACCCCACAAAGCCAAGGAACATTTTGTTTTTAATTTTATAATAATTGTGTCAAGTAGCTTGCGCGTACCTTATTAATATATAAATATGCTCCTTAATTTAGTTTCATTTTGCAGTTATGCCTTTCAATTTTGAGTATGCGTACGTAGACACTTAAATTTGTACAAAATTAAACAAATAAAATCATTTATTCTATATGGCATCTGTCATGACAATTTTGTGTCCTATGTGTATTATGCCACGTAAGATGTGTCTACTTGTTCAATTTTTTACAAGTTAGGTGTCCACTTGTACACATTCAAAATTGGAGGACATAAATGTCAATTAAATACATATTTATGTATTATGCCACTATTTTATTAAATATCTATTATCTACTAGTTTTTATAACACAAATATCAAATAACAGTACTAGAAATTACTTATATGGCGTCTTTAATCTCCATCGAAATTTGAACTTTGATCTATCTTAATTGTCGTTTTACGTAATTTATTGATCACTATGTCATACTCAGCAATGCGAGTGAAAGAATATATTTCAAAGATGAGCAACATTTCCATTCATAGGAACTTTTTCAGTAAATACTATACTGGCCCACTCCTTTCTTAAAGCAGAACCTCTTGCAAGTTGCAAAGGAAATCATTTTGCCACTTTATTCTAACTAGATATTAGTCCTCTTTAAGTATATTAAGACCATATATATTCATATATATTGTCCCACAACCCCATTGGCTTGGTGTTTTCATATTCTTACCTTTATTTTACAATAAGATTCTTGATACCTTTCTTCAAATCGATTAATGAAATAATGTAAATTGTCTACATTATATTTTTTGAACGTATTTTTTCTGAATCTTATGTGAATATGGAATATTTTGTGTACTGAATTGTCTTTTTTTTAGGTATAATACATGTATATATATGTCTTATAACTTGGTCTCATTTCACATTTATACCTTCAAACTTTAGGTACGCACAAATAAACACTTAAACTTGTATAAAGCTGAATAAGTAGACACATTAGTCCTATGTGACACAATACACATAGGATACCACGTAGGACGCAAATTGTCATGTAGGATGCCACATAGGACGTGTGTTTCTATTTATTCAATTTTATGCAAGTTTAAGCGAGTACTTGTGCACACTCGAAGTTGGAGGACATAAATATAAAATAAGACAAAATTAAAGGACATATTTATATATTATGCCTTATTATTATTTTTAAAATTGGCACTGCTACATTTGTGAGTATGTATCATTTAGTTAAAATAACAGTAATAAGAAAGAAAACTAAGCTGGCGTTTAGCTATTGATTTCCAAATATTCTTGGCAAATATTATTTGAGTAAAAATTTGGGTGAAATATCACCATGTGTTTGGCCATAGTATTTGGGAAATATATTTCACTTTTTAAAAAAAATATAATTTATACCCATAAGTTTTAAAAATATCAAAACTGACCATAAATCTGTATTATACAAGTCAATAGGATATTTGTTACAACAATAACAAATAGTGTCCATGACATTAGAGCAATGCGGTAATTTGGAGTGAGTGCAATAAGCATAATTTCATACATCGTGAAGTAGACAAAACACATGACTTTATTATCTTGAGCCGATTGATTATCATTTTCATCAATAACCATATTATCATTTAACATTCACAAAATATTTCATCACTACTTTGAAATTGACGTAAAAAATTATGTAATACAAAGTAAGCAACAACTATAGAGGTTGTTTTTGTAAAAGATAAAAGTTTAGAGTAAAATTTCAATTTTTGAAAGATCCCAAATAATGAGAGTTAGCCCAAACACTAAAAAAAACTAGTATTTGAAAATTTGAAATATTTACCAAATAATAACAAAATGTATGAACAAACACTATTTGCCAAATTTTTCTTTAAATATTATTTGAAAAATCTATGGCCAAACGGACCCTAAAAGTGGACCAGTTTCCTTTGGGACAAACAAAGATTGCTTTATTCTGCTTCTTTATAGGCCCACAGGTTTATGAAATTTAAAAAGATCCCTTCAAGCTTTTGATACACAAATCAAACGGAATGAAGAAACAAGACAGAAAGTGGAGGATGCTACATTATATTATCATCAGCAGTCAAAAGCATTACACATATAGTTTGCACATTAGACTTATAAACAAATGGATTATAATTAAAGAACATGCATGCAGATACAAGGAATTTTTTGGGATTATTTTTATGTTTTATCAAACTACAGTTTAGAACTTTGAATTGAATAATTTAAATTTTTATATCAATGAATAAAGTTTTTTTAATAAGATCCAATATAATATGTTGCAACCAAATGATTAATATCTTATCAACTAAAACTAGTCCTTAATATTATAAATAATAATATTACTAAGTAAGATTAATAATTTTTTTTATGTCACTTAGAAATACCACACAAATCATAACTATGTAGAAATAACAAATGTTACAAACTTATAAACATGTAATATCTGATAGTATACAAAATTAGTTATAAACTCTTGAAAAGCTAATATATTGTTTTTTGAATAAATAAAATTATTGATAATATTAGCATCATATTAAATCTCAAAACAAAAAATATCCAAATTATAGTCTGATGAAATTAAATTTGAAAAATTCATCTTTTTTATCAATTTTATCTTTAAATCCAGACTGATCCAACAGTAAGCTATCATTTTTATCTTGAATTCTTGGATAGAAAATTAAACCCTCATAGTGAAGTACAAATTTAAAGATATACTTCAATAGTAGTAGCCGATGGTCGTCAATGAAGAAGCAATAGATAATCAAAAACCATGAACAAATCTCTATAATATGCTGCTAAATCCAAAAAGCTTCGAATATCGATAGGAATTAGAGGTCTAGGCCACCTCTGTATTCTTCAGATCAACACTAATTCTTTTTAATTGTTTGACCAATGAAAAATTTAGTCTAATTTGTAAATTTGTGAGATTTTTTTCTTTCTTCGATACTTTTTTTTTTATAGATGTGCATCTATAAATTAAGGGCAACAATAACTATAATTTTTCATAATTTTAGACAAGTTTAGGTGTTTACTTGTGCACACCCAAAGTTAAAGACCATAGTTGCCAACTAACGCCAAGTTAAGGGTCATATTTACGTATTATGCCTTTTGAAATTGTTTACATAATTATTTCAAGATACAAAAAATAATAATATTATTCTATATACAATAAAATTTATTTAGACTTATTATTTTATTCTAAAAACTAATTAAGAGTCACAAAAAATTTTCTAACTTACTTATTATGATAAGTTCTTTTTAAAAAGTTATTTTATTCTTAAATTTTATAATCAATTAAACAACACACATAATATCATAGGAGATAGTAGTACTATATATGTAGCACTTAAGAAATACCAAAGCAATACAATGAGCAATTAGTGTATGATTTTATGGGCTGGAAATGTAGCTATTACCAGTAGTGCTGTAGTGGATTAAGACTTTTATAGCTATGGATTATTTTTAAAGTAAACTTGTATCAATCAAAATCATAATTGCGAGCTAAAATTCCTCAATAAAGATATTATTTGTTTTTTCAATTCAATGCAATGGTCAATCGAAATAATTGGATTGGTTCAAGAAAAAGAAAGGAGAAACAATATATAACTTTACATACAACTGTAATTACCAAAAGGGTTAAACAATGTGAAGGATGAATATTTCACTTTTGAATTGGAGAACTGAAATGAAGGTGCGCTAGAACAAATTGTTCTTTTCCTTTCCTTTTTATTTTTTCTAGTT